CGATTACGTCGCGCGGCTATGCCAGTACGAGACGGATGCGTACCGCATGGCGTACTGCGACGTCGCCGTGCCCTCGGCGGACGGAAGCGGCGTGGAAGTCTTGGCGAACGCGCGCACGTTTGTGTCCACGCTGCCCGCCGAGCACCTAGACGAAGGGGATTTCGACGCCGAGAAGTGCGAGGCCTTCATGCGGTCCTTCTAAAGCCCCCCCGGGGAAGTATGAATAGATTAGCGTTCGAGGTTTACTGTATCTAGAGTTTTTTTTTTCCCCATCCTGCCCTTTTTTTTCGGCGCGTTTTTTTTTTGGTTTGGCGGGTTTGGCTATCTATCTCGTCCACTAACGGAGTAATTCGCTACGGAGAACGGTAGTTCGAAACAAGCCCGCCACGATAAATAGATCTACGATCTTTTTCCCCCCCTTTCCCCCGTTTATAATGGATGTTTAAATGTCAGTGTCGCGTGACGATCCAACCAAAAGAGATCTACCGCCAAGTTCTCTCCTTCCCGAGGGGGGGGGTCACGTTATCCGCTGTCGACACAGCCCCCCCCCGGAGGCTATACATAGAACTCAGCTTTGGCCGAAAAGCCCTGCCCTGCCTGATACAGTCGAGGAAACGACCCCGTTCATTCGGCGACTAGAGCAGATAGTCGTTTTGCATTATTTATTTTCATTTTTATTTTCATTATTCATTATTTTGTTTTGGGTTCCGCTTGTGTGAATCAGCTCCGATGATTCGGGGTTTGGGGACTTGTGATGCGCGACCAGAACCCGCTCCCCCCACCCGCTTCTGGAAATATTCTGCGTGGTGAGGCGAGCGGGACTTGTTTTCTCCGGGAGAACGCTTTTCTCTTGGGCCTCTATTTTTAGGAGGCCTCGCTCCGCTGTTTTGCTTGCACTGTGTTCTCGGGTCGATGTTCGACTCCGATCTATCTATCCACCGGGCCCATTGTATCTAGAATGTCACCCAGGTGAAGAAGCTCTGCGCTCTCGGGGAGAATTCCGCGGTTTGGTTGACTACCTATGTTTCTTGGCTTTGGTCGTCACAGGTTCAATGGCGTGAGATGTGATCCGAGTAATATAATTGATTGCGCACCCCTCTCTATAATTCTATCCCAGACCCAAACAAAGGAAATAAGTCTATACCAAAACCAAACCCGGCGATTTGAAATCAAAGCCCGTCCCACCCCATTCTATAACCGTCACAGGACGCCCTCCGGTTTAATGCCTTCCCATGCTTTTCCCGCCGTCTCGTAGATCTAATATGTGCTGCCGTCTATCATCCAACGTTGCTTGTCATTCAGATTCATAGACGAACTGTACGCCGTCCCGCTAGAACCGATGGGCCGTGCTAGGCAACATCTCTAATAAGTATCCGTCAGTAGGCGTCGATCAACAGTAAGATTGACTCTAGGACTGACAAAATATTGCCTTGTCTGACTCATCGATAATTGTGTTTCCCCTTGGAAACACGAGGCTAACTGGTGAAACGGTCAGTATCACAAATAACATCGGCGTTTGGATGGAGTTGAACTCACGAAGAGCCCGATGTGGGTGGTTGGGGCGGCGGCGGGGATGGGCCCGACGACTCGCTCTTGACGGTGGAACCACTGGCCGTAGCTTTTCCTTTGCCTTGAGATGAGCTGCCGTCCATAGCAACGGCCACTGCAGCGAGTATCACAACCATTGTGCGTGAGTTTGTATGTATGGGTTATGAGTGAGATAGTAGATTTAAGGACTCGGAGTGAGAGAGAAGATGAGAAGACTGTCGTACTCGGGAGATCAGAGTGAATCGAATGATATTGGATGTGATGTCTACAACAAGACCATGAAAACTCCTGGGCTCATCCGACTTATTATACCCGAACGGCCAGCTATGCGGCCCAGTTATGATACGGCGCTGGCTCAGAGCATTTGCCACCAGATTGCCTATGAGAAACACCGCAGAGCCTAAAATAAGATGAACAAACAGGCGTCGCAGTTGAGGACGTGCCTCTTCGAGACCGCAGCGAGATGAAGTCCTCGCGTATCGATCTACAAAGACTTGACGTCAGAAACGAGTGCGAACCCGATGTTCCCAGGCATATGCGGAAAGGACCGCATCGCCCCAGACGGGACAAAATTACACCCAAGTGTGCGGCACAAGCTCTGATCCCGATACCTGCCATCTCGCGATCCTCTCGTCGAGCTGAAGCTCTCAACGTTCAACGAGGTGCGGCTTCGATAGCGCACCCCGGGGCACGGACCGAGGGCGTGCGGGCTACCCTTCTAAGCGGCGGAGCTGAGGAGCGGTTCCTACGGCTGAGCCTGGTGGTGTCAAACGGGCCCAAGGCGAGTCGAGGCGCAATGAGCCTTGCCAGTCCACCTTAAAACAAGCCCATCTCCACTTTGCTTCCTTCCTTGTGATATTCCTTACTGAGACCCATCATGACCTTGCAAACCGAGGCCCCCCCCGGGCTCGGAGAAAAGGCCCCTGTGTTTTCGTGAAATGTCCGTCTGATTCTGTCCAATCAGCGACCCTGTTCTTAATCGGGATGAAAGTCGATCGCGATGGGGGATCCCTCGTAGACATGGAGGGCACAGGGGACCGTGAGACTCAATGGGCAGGGGATAGCTGGCTGACCTAAAGCAGTAAGGCTCTCGTGGATGTCGGCGTTTTCCTGTGGCCAGACGACCGCGCAGCACGCCGACCAAGGCCGTCGCGGACTACATGGCATTTGCCATTTGGATTATTGCCATTGCCTCCTGTGGCCCGCTCAGCTATCCCCTCTCCCAACCGGACTCCCTTTTGAGTCTTCAACGCTTCTTCCAGTGGACTGGCTGTTCCGGGATTGACGGGAAGGCGGCCTGGAGCAGCGGGCACCTGACGACTTCCCGCGGCGCCTGTAACCCTCCCATCCTCCGGCAACACGAGCGTGATCTATGTCTAATTCCGAGGGGTTCGTAGTTAACACGGCGATAAGAACGAGCGGTACTTTGTCTCCCCTGCGAATCTCCTATGATTAATGTAGTACTGAGAAGGGGGGGAATCTGTCGATGTAACAGACCAGAAAGAACGGCCACAGCATCTAGCCGGATGCATGTAGTCGATGTAACCGAATCCACCGATACCGAGTTAGAGTGCATAAGCAGTTATGCAGATTGCGGGCCTTGCATTGCCGGCTGCCTCGTCATGGCGCTAGTCCCGGCCGGGCCTAGCTCCCGTCCGTTTCTTGGGATTCTTGGGAATCGGGATCAGCCAGGCCAGGCAGGCCGGGCAGGCCAGGCCAGGCACCCAGCCACTGCTCTCATACCTCTATCTACTATTCTCGGCGCAGACCTCCCATCACTAGGACCACTGATCTACCTACCCGCTCCTCCCAAACGACCTGCCTCCTACACACCACACACTAACCCACTCCGTAGGCCCTTTTCTCGTACATCGAGGATTCCCTACAGACTAGCTCGTCTATTCATGCTCTTATTTATTTATATCCCGCCTTATCCCACAGGATCGGACTCTGAGACGGACAACCAGATGGCTGGCGTCGACGGACCCGCGTCTACCTTGCCGACCGCGTACGTCGTATTTGGGGTAGAGCCCTTCCTCGTAACGCATTCGACGTCGCATTACCATCATGTCGAATGTTACGAGGCCGCCTCAGCGGGCAGATCGCGGGACGTACTATGTATAACTAAATACCGTGCGCGGGGAAATCGGAAATCTCATCTCATCTCATCTCATCTATCTCTGCTTCCTCCGGCGGTCATCTCGTAAAATCCTATTGGGCCGGGGGCGTCGAGGGATCGGCCGTCGCGAAACTTTATCTCGACCGCCTCGCGTTATGTAAGTGCTCGTGCTCCCATGTAGATCTTGCCTGACATGTCTCCATCGCCAGGACCTCCACCACCTATAAATACCTTGCCCGCACGGGTCTATCTAGTGTACCCACGGCAACATGGTAGAACTCCAGCGGCGCGGTATGTATACATGCTTTCGGTGTTCTGTAGGAAGCGATGTCGCCAGGCAGGATCAACGGCGTCTTCCGAGAATCTAAGCCGAGGAGTGCTACCCACTCTCTGCCTATAATTGTCCGTGGTGAGCTGCTTATGTGCCATGCCATGCCATGCCATGCCCTGCCATGACATGTGAACGTGGGGTCTTCCGCATAACTTCCTCTTGGCCGGCGGGAGGCACGCGCACGGGCAAGTCCCTGCATTGCCTCTGTGCTGCATGTGTCTGTTGTTGTTTATAGCCAAGGCGATCTTCTTCTTCTTCTTCTTCTCCTCCTTAGCTAGGCATCACCAATACATGAACCCGGGATACCACCTTATTTTAGGCAATAGCGCAATGAGTGTTCTGCTCGTTTATATCTGGAACCTGAGGCGTCAAGTCCCGGTCCCACTCGTCTTCTGGAACATGCTTACAATCCTTTTGGTGGAACGCGGTGGTTTGACAGGATGGCTCGAGATATCAATAGGATGTGGATCGAGGCAGGCTGGCTGTGACTGATGTGAATTGTTTAATAAGGCAGAAGTGTTCCTTTCTTTAGACCGTAGTAGTTTTCATCTCAGTAACACAGACTCATCGTTGCCTTCCTCTGACAAGTGAGCTCAGACAGTCATGTTGTGGCTTGCAGTTAGAATACTCGATGAGAAATATCTTGACGGGAAAGCAAAGGCTCCGGTCCATTTTCATATGACTCTTGTGTGAGTACTTTTCGCGACGCACAGTTCTATGCTTAAGACCGGGTATTCAGTAAGAATTTCTATCTTGTAGGCAAGCCCTGGTAACGGGAAAGTAGTAGAGGAGAAGGGAAAAGAGAAAGGAAGACGAGGGGTTATACACGATACATAGGTGTGCTAACGCAAAGGATAGGGTACATAGAATAGAAAAACGTTTTCTTGCCAAACTAGCCTAACCAAAAGATAATTAAAAATTCAAGAGAAGAGGAAATAAGGAGAAAAAAGAGAGAAAAAAAGAGGCTGCTACTCTTAGACAACTAAGAGACATCAGGAATTGAGCCCGATGCGGGGGTCGAACCTGCGCAAGTTAGTATTCCGGGTTTGGACGGATTCCCTGGAGAAGAGGACTACTCACCCGCAACCTTGAGATTAAGAGTCTCACGCTCTACCGATTGAGCTAACCGGGCAGATTGTTGGAAAGCGGTGCGCGATATTCGATTCTTCTATTCACCGTGTTAGCGCGATGGAGGTTCTTTGCAAGCCGCAACAATTCTTGAAGTGGGGCGTGAGGCAATAGCGGGGTTTTCACGGGTGTGGTGGGGCGTTCAATCGAGGGGCAACCTGGAAGTCCCGTCTGGAGCCTGGCAGGTCGGATGAACCTCCCCGCAACAACCGCGCAAGCAATCGATAAAAAGGCGGGCAGTATTAGGTAACCTCGTTCTGTTATCCTAGAAGACCTACTTAGAACATGCTGGAATAACGGCATCGGCGATCCCTCTTCATACAACGTTTCGTCCCAGAGCTCAATCAGCTTGCCGAATCTATCCTGACCTCTGCGCGTGGATTCTGTCCTTGATTCCGCCCTTGTGTGTATAATCAAGATGCCTGTGGATTATAGCAAGTGGGTGAGTGATGCGTCCATCTACCTAGCTCAGATAGCGATGCCACGATCTGGTGGCTAAAGATGGTATCTCTCCCAGGACAACCTGGAGCTCAGCGATGACTCCGACATCGAGGTCCATCCCAACGTCGATAAACGGTCCTTCATCCGCGCCAAGCAGAACCAGATCCACGCCGAGCGCCAACAGCGGAAACTCCAAATCGAGACCCTCAAGTACGAGCGCCAGATCAACGATGGATTGATAAAACGCATAACCGGGCTTCTTACCGCCCTCAAAGCTAATGCCGCCGAGGCTGAATCAAATCTCGCCGAGATGGCTTTCCGCGCCGTCATGGAGTCCGCCGGCCGGCCCGAGGACGACAAGCCGCCAGCGCGACCCGAAGGCGTCCATGCCCAAGTCGAACAGCCCCCGACTTATACCAAGATGATGGCGACTCTGCTCGACCAGGTTAACCAGACTCTTAACGAGAAGAAGCCAGCGAATCGCTATACTGCCATGATCGAAGAGATAGAGGACCACCTGAAGAAAGTGCAGGATCTACAACAGCAACTCTTGGCAAAGCTGGCCGAGTTGGAGAAGGAGGAGGGCCGGAAAATTACGAGTGAGGGCATCCATACGGGCTTTGATAGCTCCTATGTCGCAAAGGCCGCACCGTCTACATCTACATCGGGCGAGAAGAAGGCTGAGAGTAAAGTTGAGCTTCTGAATCCGAACTTCCCGGCAAGCGAGCCAGGGGGGTCGAAGGCTACATCGTCAGAAGACAAAACTGGCGGCGACGATGATGAAGGCGATGACGCCGAAGTCGAGGCTTCTGCTGATGGTCGCGCATTTGCAAATATCAAGGCTGCTGAGTATAGGGAAAGCCATGCTTTCATCACTTCACACCTCCATATTGTGACCGAGAAGGAGACCGATGGAATACTCATCATGGCCTTTGACGCACAGCTAGAGAACAAGGACGATCTAGCGAGGAACTACGTACATCAGGGCCTGCTGCTTCAGTACTGCCGCTCACTAGGCCAGGATGGTGTTCCGCTCTTCTTCAAGCGCATCACCACAAAAGGCCACCAAGCTCAGGAGGTCTTCTACAAAGATGTACAGGATACCTACTTCCGTATCAAAAAACGGGCAGCCGAGATCAACGCACAGCGCGCAGAGGCCAGCTCTGGCGATGTAGAGCAAATCCAGCTGCACGCTGTGCAGCCAGGCACTGAGATCAAGATCCGGATTCCGCCCAAGATCAGCGAGGATGAAGAGGGCGAGCGTGAGCGGCAGATATTCGAAGGATTTACGCCAGACTTGCAGAAGGCGCTAGAAACCGGCAGCCTGGACCAGGTCAATGAGGTACTGGGCAAGATGAAGGTGCCCGATGCCGAAGAGGTCGTTAATCTCTTGAGCGAGGTAAGATGGAGACTCCACGACTTTCACTGGTCATAATTTACGTATATCTGCTGACTCTCGTTGCAGGCTGGGATCCTCACCCTGGAAGAGCAAATAATAGACGCCACGACAGCCGAAGGTCGGCAAAGGGTTAAGGAGTTAGAGGAACAGGCTGCGACGGAGTCATATGCGGATGACCCCGAGTAAACAAGAAGGACTTGTGGTGTGTGTGGTATTGGGGGTTTTATCCTTGCAATCATCATGGGTCAGGCCTACTTAAGTAGCCCGACCGGTGATGAGAGGTTGACAACCCATAGTTAGACACCATGGTACGAATATCCCCCAGAACAACCCCCCGAAACGAAACACAATTTCAGCCTTTCATTTGTCCCACTGGATCGGCACATTCATGGTACCTGGTGCGCGGGACGAGGTGAGACGCACAGCAGGTTGGTTCTCTTCGTCGGGTTGGAGGTTTCATTTTGGGATTCCGCGATACGTAGGTTTGTATTACGGGAAAAGTAAGAAGTTCTGTTCGCCGCTTGTTTGGTCTCTCCATCGCTAAAAATGGCTGGGTGGCTGTGTGGCTGTAAGGTGATTATGGCTGTGCTGTGGCCGGTATGTGGGCTCTGATGTGCTGCTTGGCCATTTCACCTATATTACGAGGCGTGATGCACCAGCCATTGACGTGTTTGGGAGCTGTTGTGGCCGAGGTCTACGTTTGGCCGAGCAATCCGGTTGACTCGTTATGCTGTCGCCTGGGTCAAGATTTACTGAGCACGAGACGGAAGCGAGCACGGTAAACGTCATACCGTGCTTACCGTCCCCCAGTTATTTGCTGGCCTGCCATAATGCTCGGCCACGCAGGGACGACAGTCGCTTATGCCCGTAATTAACACATTGCTTGGCCAATTCGAGGTGCCACCCCACTATTACTACAGCTTACCCGGCCGAGCAAGTTAGTCGGCCGAGGAACACCTGGTTCTGACCAGGACAGCGACGTGAACGTCAGGCATTGCGCGTGGCCGAGCAGCTTGGTGAACATGTTGATAGGCGGTGGATCCCTCGTATTCCCGCTAGTCTAATACTTTGAGTCAAACGTTTTCTGTCCATTCACCCAACCCAACCAGCCGCCCCATAGCCCCTTATTCATCGCTAATGAATGGGCTGTTTGAGGTTCACAACGGGCGCGTTCTGACTGAATGTCGTCTTATGTCTCTACCTTGTGCAATACTGGCCACCACACCCAAGGGACCTCGTGAATGATGGGCCGCAACTGGGACCGCCGTGAAATAGAGTTCGCGATAGGTCCTTGGCCGGGATGAAACCTTGCGGTAGAGATGCCGTTGGTTTGCCCATGTTTTGGGAGACGCCGGTACATACAAATTACCTGCCGATCAAACATCGAATGCAGACATGGAACGCGCGTCCGCCTGGTCTTACCACCGCCAAGACTGCCCTGCGAGGAGGCGCAGTCGCCAGCTGCTGTTCAGGGTCTCCACAACGTAATGCCAGATCGAGTGCGCTACGGTGCAGAGTCGAGAGTCATGTATTATTGCGCGTGGACAGCCTACTGTATAAGAAGGTAGGTGAGGTAGTGTCCCATTGCGCCTCCTGGCCGCAGTTACTATCTTAAATCGCAGGGTCGCGGCAGCATCCGGGGGTTGTATATTCTAGTTCTTCTCTTCTCCGTCTCCTTTGCGATACTGACGTCCGCCTTCAATACTCACGCAACCATAGTATCTACTACTGCTTGCTCTAGATAGTATCCCGCTTGTTCCTTATCCAGTTCCTCATTCAAGATGATTCCGTCGATACATACGTGCGCGGCGATCCTGGCGGCGCTAGCGAGCACCGCTTACTCGACACCACAAGGCGGTCTCGTCTCGATGATGAACAGGGCATCCATTCCTACGGTAGAAGCCGCATCGACTACGGCGTCGACGGTGGCGTGCAATAACTTCCCGGCCCTTTGCAATCGCTCCTACGCCAACATTACTCACATGGGTGCCCACGACTCATCCTTTCTACGCGATGCCAGCACCCAGAACTCCGTCGCGGGCAACCAGTTTTTCAACGCGACCGCGGCGTTGGACGCCGGCCTGCGGCTGCTTCAGGTGCAAGTTCACAAGCTCAATAACACCATCGAGATGTGCCACACATCATGTGATTTGCTTGACGCGGGACCCCTGGAGACTTGGCTTGGGGATATCAAGTCGTGGATGGACAGTAATCCGAACGAGGTGGTAACGCTCTTGATTGTCAACTCCGACGGCCAGGACGTGTCCGAATTTGGGGCCGTATTCAAGTCGTCAGGCATCGCCGAGTACGGATTCACCCCATCTGGCAACGGATGGCCGACGCTGCAATCCATGATCAACGCCAAAACGCGCCTTGTGACCTTCATTGCGTCCATCACGCCCAGCAGCGCCTTTCCGTACCTTCTGACCGAGTTCGACTTCGTCTTCGAGACTGCTTTTGGAGTCACCTCGCCAAACGACTTCAACTGCACGCTAAACCGACCCTCCACGCAATCATCGGCGTCCGCCGCGCTCTCAGCTGGTCTCCTCCCGCTCATCAACCATTTCCTGGACACGGGGTTGGGCTCCTCTATCACGTTCCCGAATGTCGATGCGATCGGCACAACGAACAGCCCGTCGACGAACACCCTCGGCGCCCTAGGCCAGCAGATCCAGACCTGCAACACGCAGTGGGGTCACTTACCGACCTTCGTGCTGGTGGATTTCTGGAACGAGGGTCCCTCCATCAGCGCCGCGGACGCGATTAACGGCGTCAGCAACCCCGTCGGGCGCAAGAACGACACGGCTAACGCGGACCCGACCAACGAGGCGAAGCGTGGTCGCGGCGTGGCTGGTTATACGGGGGCACTCGTCGCGTTCTTCGCGGCGGCGCTATTGCTCGCATAGACTGAGCATACCGCGGTTTTCTATGGGTTGTTCCATCTCCTTTGTTTTACTGTTAGAGGAGACACAGTTATATACATGGCGGGTTATAGAAAGGCTGAAAGGGGGTCGGCTTAGATTTTCTGACTGCATAGCGACGGCGTTTGTTGTTTTTTGGGGGCGACATCTACAGGAACTGGTCTTGTCACTGTATAGTGTAATATAGCCTGGATGGAGGATATCTCGTAACTGTATATTCGCTCGTCTGCTGCTTTTGCGCAG